ACAAAGAATTCTAAAAAGGAAACCAAGAAATCATTACTAGTGACAACATGATAAAATTACCTAGGAATGAACCTAACCAGAGATGTAAAAGACACGTACAATGAAAACTACAAAACAGGCTACTACTATAAGAGACACCTTCATAACAGGCAGGGCATCCCATGCTCAGAGGGGGACTCACTCTCTAAACGGCAGACTCTTGTTCTTTGGGAACTGGGAAAACCAATACCGAATGTGAGTGAGGCATACACCACCCAACTGAGGTACATGGTGACACTAAGGGGTACACAAGAATAAGGAACATTTTGGGTAAACACTATGACATATAAAATTTTGTAATAACCAAAATTCTGAGTGTGGCTACATGGGTAAATATGTTTTATACAAGTTACTTATGTTTTAAATAGGTTACAGGCCTATCTATTGTTTGGCTGGAAACTGAGCCTTAAGGGTGAGTTCATTTACCCATGCACCCAGAAGGCTGTCACAGAAACATGAAGGTATATGCATACATGCAGAGGTGTTATCTGTAGGCACATTTATACACGTATGTGTGTGTTGTGTATATATGTTCATACATGTAATAAAACACAGAGGGGGCACAGTTACAGAGATTTCCCAGACATAAACAAATACCTTGAGAATTTGATCTACTGGATTTTAAGGCTCAGGAAGTGGGACAGCTCAGTCAGTTGGTATAAAATAGTTCAAAAAGTTTTTGTTCTGTATCCTAGTTGGGTAAGCAGTGTCTGAGGTCTTAAAAGCTTGCTAGCAGCTATTTAAGACAAAACTATTGGTCACTTCTAGTCCAAAGCAAAAGAGAAAAAAGGAAACTAAAGATTCAAAGAAGAATCGAGTCTACAAGGCTAATACTCCTTGTGAACCATGACCTCATCTGCCCTGAGACCAGAAGAACTAGATGGTGCCCAACTACTACTATCAACTGTTCTGACCAGGAACACAGCAGATGGTTCCAGACTGAGTGGGAGAAAAGCATCAAGCAAAACTCAGATGACTGAAAAAGGCCAGACTTAGTGGACCAGTTGAGACTATCGCCCTGAGATGATACCCTTTTAAACTGTGAACTGAGGAAGAAAGGCCTGGCAATCTACTGCCGAAAAGTCAGCCACTGAACACTCTGTGGAACGCAGTTCTACTCTGTCACACATGGGATTGCCACAAGTTGGAATCAGCTCAGCTGGTTTTTACTGGTGATTTGTTTCTAAAGGTTTCACCTCTCACCAGCTTCTGTCTTGAATCCCCAGGGAACACTGTACTGTGTTGGCCACGTATCTTATGACTGGAAACATTAATTTTATATTCATACTCCAATACCACATACCCCCTAAACCATAATTTTTCTTGTCTAAACACTCGAGTCATGTTCCACCCTCCTTTCCCTGGACGCCACCGTTTCATCTCTGTCTCTCTTTGATAATTCTTTAGGACTACACTCTTCTGTGTGGCCACAGACCTTCTAGAACTGGCCAAGAAGTGTGTTTTTCCTCCACGCAGCCAAGCAGACACTTGGAAGTCTGTGTAACTTGAGAAACAGAAGTGCCACCTCAAGTTTGAGGACAGGTGTATATCATTAATCCCTTACTGGAATGTAAGGAGCCTGTTTCTACCCCTAATGTCTTTTACACTTGTGCTACATTGTAAAAAAAATTCTATATACACAATTTGTTGTTGTTGTTGTTAAGTGCCGTCAAGTCGGTTCCGACCCATAGCGACCTTGTACACACAAAAACACAAAGAACAGGGTACAACTGGCATTGTAGAAACTTTGCTTTTCAAAAACACAGTCTTCTTCCTTGAGCTTCAGTGTTTCCTAGCATGGCAAAATCCTCTGTCCCTTTTACAGTTAGATCCACTTGATGAAAGTGTGGTTCACACAAGTTCACACACAATATTGGAGCTGTACAGCTATTTGGTTGCTTTATCTTCTTTGAAACATCTGTGCCTGCGGTCACTTTGGTTTGTTCCTTGTAAATGAAAATGATCCAAACTGTTAACACTACCTCCTCTGACCATTCCAGAAATCTCTAGAAGGTTGGTTTTGACTAGCCTTTTCAAGATTGGTCTCAGTTTCCTAATTTGTCTTCTAGAATTCTGAGAGTTGTATGAGACAAGTTCTGGGATTTGCCTCATATGCTAAACACCCCTTTCTAAGAGCTGTCCCTCCCTCGGTTTTGGAAACACTAGGGGTTTTCATACCCATTTTGTAGAGCACCCATTTATATTTATTTCTATATATAGAACTAAAACAATATACTCCAAGCTTTGTTGTGGTTTGAATATGAGAGTTGCATTTTGGCTAAGATCATGAACTCGGTCTCTGATCATTCTGTCTTTAAAAAACTGTGACCAAGTGTGAAAATCTGTGGAGAAACAGTAAATTAAAGTACCTAAAGTTCCTAAAGGAGAAATTATTGAAGAGATGCTTACTCCCCATGCCTCGCTAGCACAATAATTACATAGCAAGGGAAAGTTATATTGGCAACTATGAGTATTTAACAACTGTCTTCTTTATTCACTGTTCTTTTCTATTAAAAAGTTTTCTGAAAAATCTCTTTACTTTTCTTAACTTGGTTGAACGTCAAAATGGATGGATTTTCATCCCAAACCTAATATGATAAAATCCTATTTGGCCCACTTATTTAAAAATCACAACTGCTGACACATGGCATGACCTTGAGTTGAGGTTAAACTTCTCCCTTTTATAAATGATAAACAAACAATACCCTCACCTGCTGTTGGCTTTCCAGCTTAATGATTTTGTTTTAAATGGCTATGTTTTGGTACCAGCAAAATGTTAACCAAGGCAAAGCCGACACAAGAGAATCCTGGAAGAAAATGTGAAAGTTCCAGGACAATCATTTGCTGAAAATCATCTTATGATGAGAAATGTGAGACCCATCTTTTAAATGACAGGGGGAAAGCAAGATGATTTCATTCCTTGTTCAAATGGGAGCGAGCATGATTATCTAGAAGCATAAACTACCCCTACTTATGAATGTTGAAATCCCTTTTCACTGTTTTGCATTCCAGTTTGAATAGTTTGTATTGAAATTTAATCCACATCTTGTGTATGTTTTGGTGCATAAAACAGGAAAATTGGTGTTTTTACTTTGGAAATTTGTAGGACAAAAGGGCATGTTATTAATTTGCTATAATATTATATTCTGTATATATGTTTTCATGTACATAAATGAAGATCTATATCAGAGTTATATTTCAATTTTTATTCTAAATAAATCGACTCTTTTTTTCTTGAAAAAATTGTGAACCACATTGTTAATAAAGTATATGTGAATTAAGACAGAAAACAAAAACTTTGAACTGAAACCACCCTCTGAGGTCACCTTTCAGCTAAATAACAGATTGGCTCATAAAATAAACCATATCACATGTGAGTACTGTGTTCCTTAAAAAAGAAAACATACACACACACACAAATCCATATGAGACCAAACAGTCACCAATTACCCAAAAGCAAATATGATAAGGTAAAGGGAGGTAGATGAGGTTTTCTGCTCCCGTAAAGATTTACAGCCTCGGAAACCCTGTACAGTGTTGCTATGAGTTGGAACCAATTCCAGGCACATAATAACAACAACAAAGGGAAGTAGGGAAACTAGATTAATGGAAATGGAACAACCAGAATGAAAATGAGAATTTGGCACAGTGTAAAAAATGTAACCAGTCACTGAACAATCTGTATAGAAATTGTAAGACAGAAACCTAATTTGCCGAGTAAATTTTCACCAAAAACACAAATAGTATTTTTTTTTAAATACAATTTCACACCCACCCATTAGATTGTCAAAAAAGTTTAAAGACTAACAAAACTAGGTATTGGTAAGTGCATTTCTTACACTGCTGTTGGAAGTGTAAATTGTAGAGCTCTTTGGAATATATAGGGAAGTTGAATTTGCAACTGAGACAATTCCATTTCTTGGTATATATCCCAAAGCCACTGTCACACACAAGAATAAAGAGAGATGCAGAAAGTTGTTAAAGGAATTGTTTATACTAGCAATACACTGAAGTCAATTGGGAAAGAGTACATATTCCCACTAATAGTTAAGATAAATTAACTAGATCTTCATGTAACAATGGAATTCATTAGAAAAATATCTCAAAAATACAATTTTACAGGAAAAAAAAAAATGCTAGCGGGTACTATTTGTGTACCATAGTTTTAAGTCACATTTATAATGGACAGATGCCTTCATATGTAGTGGTGGCTGTGTGCCACTGAGTCAGCTCCAACTCACAGCGACTCTGTCTAGGGTTCCCAAGGCTGTGAATCTTCATGGAGACTGGACCAGCTGATTCTCCTGTGGAGCGACTGGGTGTTGTTGTTAAGTGCCTTCGAGTCGGTTCCGACCCATAGCGACCCTGTACAGGGTTTCCAAGGCTGTAAATCTTTATGGGAGCAGAATGTCTCATCTTTCTCCCGCGGAGCGGCTGGTAGTTTCGAACTGCTGGCCTTAAGGTTCACAGCCCGATTCGTAACCACTACGCTACCAGAGCTCCTGGTAGTAGAGTCAAACTGCAGTTAGCAGCCTGTTGGTATTCACTACACTACCAGGGTTCCTTACATATGTAGTAAAAGTGTAAAAACTTGGGGTCAGGACAGGGTATACCTGTGTCTGTAACATTTTATTTATTATATCCAAGACTTCTTTTAATGTGATGGGTTAAGTGGGTATTCATTAATAGTTCTATGTTTGTCGTATTATTATATTTTAGACATTTTACTATCAACAATAACAAGAGGACTCAGATGACAAATCTTCCAAAACATCCCTCTTAGATTTTATCTGGGATGATTTCCAAATCCTGTTACCATCAGAGGCAGCATTTTGAATGATGTCTAATGAGTCTAATGGTTTTTAAAGTCATTCATTTCCCTCAGTTAGTTTGTTAATAAGTCAAAAACAATGATTGAAGGACAAGCAAGCACACACTGAAAAACCAAAAACAGTACTTACCCAGTAAACAGAGATAGTTGGGTTCAGTTAACCTGGATAACTTTGTGGCCTGATTCAGGATGTTGTAAAGCTCTGTGGGTTCACACAAAACCAATTCAGCCATCCTAGTGGGAAGAATGCACAAGCTTAATACATTTCTATTTCAAATGGATGCCACCGAGTACGGTATTAAATTAAACTCATTTTTAACGTCAAACAAAGGTGAAAATGACGATTTGAGTGATCCAAAGAGAGAGCTTAAAAAATCTGCCATGAAATATGCATAGAAGAAAAAAAAAAAATTGAACACAATATACCAACCATACAAAAACTAAGGCTGTAAAACAGTCACCAATTCATTTGTTCACTTAGCAAACACTGAGTACCTTCTGTATACCAGGTGCTAGAGATAAATGAGATCTACCTCCATGAAGCTATGGTCTAGCATGGAATGTAGACATTGTCTTGACAAAAACCAGCAAGTACAAAGAGCAACATAAAAGAGTAAGCACCTACTGCCAGGGGAGGGGTCTGACAGGAGGTCTTCACCCAACTGGGGAAATCAGGATGTGACTGATCAACCAAGACAGGAAGTCAGTAAGCAGGATATCTCACCAGGTGGAGGAGGGAGGTTGTTGTTGTTAGGTGTTGGTCGGTACTGACTCAACGACCCTAGGCACAACAGTACGAAACGCTGCCCGGTCCTGTACCAACCTCACAGTCACTGCTACACCTGAGCCCACTGCTGCTGCCACTGTGCCAATCCATCTCACTGGGGGTCTTCCTCTTTTTCTCCAAATCTCCACCTTACCAAGCATGATATCCTTCTCTGGTGACTGGTCCCTCCTGACAATGTGTCCAAAGTATGAGACAAAGTCTGGCCATCTTGGCCTCCAAGGAGCACTCTGGCTGCACTTCTTCCAACACAAATCTGTTGGTTCTTTTGGCAGCCCATGGCTTTCAATATTCTCCTCCAACACCATAACTAAAATGCATCAATTTTTCTACAGTTTTTCTTATTCACTGTCCAACTTTTGCATGCATATGAGGTTATTGAAAATACCATGGCTTGTCCTCAAACTAACATCCTTGCTCTTTAACACTTTAAAAAGGTCTTGTGCAGCAGATTTGCCTAATGCAATATGTTGTTTGATTTCTTGACTGCTGCTTCCATGAGCACTGATGGTTGATCCGAGCAAAATGAAGTCTTTGACAACTTCTATTTTTTCTCCATTTTTCCAATTATGAATGGGTGTTTACAGCTGTTTCTCTTCATTTTGTGTTGTGCCCCATCAGCAAATGAAGGTCCCACGGGCTTTACTCCAGTCGTGTCATCACGGATAACTATTATTTTGAGGAGGCATCTCTTCCCCAGTCGCTTTCTAAGGGCCTCATCTTCCGGCACTGTATCTGACAATTTTCTGGTGCGCTTCATCATGTTTCAGTATTCAATCTTCTGGTGCTGACTGTGTTCCACTACTATTCATAAGGTTTTCCGTGACTAAATAATCGAAGTAGTCCGTCTCTCCTTCCTAGTCTAGTTCTGTTTGGAAGCTCAGCTGAAACCTATCCACCATGGGTGACAATGCTGGTATTTAAAATACTTGTGGCAATGCTTCTAGCATCACAGTTACACACGAGCCACCAAAGTACAACAAACAAGGGGAGCAGAGAGAGTGCAAAGGCAGGAACAATCATCCCCCTTGAGGCAAGGGGGTCAGGAGAGGTCTGGAATGGCTGCAGCTGAGTTAGGAAAATGAGTGAAGACACAGGTGAGGCCAATACAGGTCCCCTTAGGATCATGACAGTCAACCAAGGGTGGATATTGACTGGTCTGCTGCTCTTGGGACACTGGTTCCAGGCCACCCGTCTCTAGCACTCTATGGACTTGCTAGTGGTTACGGATTGGGTTTGTTCACACTTCCTGAAGGGAGACTCCCTTTTCTCAGGAAGACATAAGGAGCTGCAGATTGGAGTCACTGGAGGAAGAAGTTGAGTCCACAGGTGATCCTGCTCAAAACAGTCAGGGTCCCATGCAAAGTTATCAGTGCTGCTCCTAGGAAAGGCATGGGCCCTGGGGCTCTCACCTTCTCCAGAGCTTCACTATTGTAGTTATCAGCCTCCTGTCCAAGACTTTTCCCATCAGCACACAATTTCTCTTCTGATGCCTATCTCCTTTACAACAAAACTTTTCAGAAGGGCTGCGTTCTGTCTCTGCCTCTGCTCCTTCATCTCCAATAGTGTGGTTAAGAACGCTGACTCTCAAAACTGTAATTATAGAAGATGTGTAACTAAACAAGGGAGCAGTTAATTTTTCATTTCAGGAACAGAAAATCCAAGGAAGGGCATGGAGGACCATCCAGAAGGAAGGGCATGAGTGAAAGCATGGAAAAGTGCTGATAGCAGAGGCGGTGACATGGAAAGGCAGAGCAGCTTTGAACTTGGCTCGTGGACTGAGTAAGGCTGTATGCCTACAAGCAGGAGGCTGGCTTGCAAGAATGTGCTTTCTGGACAATTAAATGAATACGTATTTTTGTATGGGTTTCTATGCATGCATCATATATTTTTGCTTTGTTCATTTGTGACATGTAAGATGTAAATGGGGCCATTGTGTTTTCAGTTGTACATGTTTTAGTTATATCATGTTAGGCGCAAGTATAACTTCAATTTTCTTGATTTATAGACTATGCATATAGTTTATAGGTGTGAAATTGATGAGACTGAGCTGTAATGGTTAGGGTTCTGTGTCAACTTGACTAGGCCAGCGTTTCCAGAGGTTTAGCAGTTGAGATACGCTTATTACCCTGGTAATGATTCCCAATACAGGTATAGTTAACGCTATGATGAGTGGATATGAGCAGGCAATCAATTAAAGACAGCTTTCTTTGGGGGTGTGGCCCCCTCCCAATATAATGGCTACACAGGAAAGACTCCCTCTCTTTTTTCACTGGGGACCTGGGACTCTGCAACTGTAAGCCATTTCTTTGATAATAAATTGTTGTTAAGTACCATGGAGTCGGTTCCAACTCATAGTGACCCTGCACAGGGTTTCCAAGGCTGTAAATCTTTATGGGAGCAAAATGCCTCATCTTTCTTCCATGGAACAGCTGGTAGTTTCGAACTGCTGACCTTGAGGTTAGCAGTCCGATTTGTAACCACTACACTACCAGAGCTCCTTTTGATAATATATATAAAAGACGTTGACTCTGAAGTCAAGTCTCTAGGCTTGTGTCCCAGCTCTGCCACTCGTCAGTTGCCTGACATGGGGGAGGACTTCGCTTCTCCGTGCCTGGTGACACATTTGCAAGAAGGGGCTAACACAGTACTGCCTCACCTAGAGATTAAAGCTAACAGTGCTCACCTATTGTATGTGACTGATGAACTTGCACACACCTCAGCCTTTTGATTGGGAATCACAGGAAGAGAATGCACAGCCTCCTCCAGAGCTTCTACCTCCAGCAACCACAGAAAGTGCTCTTGTCCAGCCCACCCGCATGGGTCCGTCTGGCTTAATTCATGAGTCATGCCTCTCTGTGCTCAAGTGATCCAGCCTCTTAGCAGCACTGAACACAGTGGAGTACTGCTCTTCCCCAAGCCCACTTCACTTCCAGAACATCATAGACCCCAGGTTTCCCTCCTGCTTCTCCAACTGTTCCAACCCACCCGTCTCTGCTGCAGCCTCTACCTGTGCAGAAGGTCCCTGCGCCAAGTTCTCCATCCACACTCGGTGTTTCTCAGCCCCCGAATTATTGCCACTTGGGGCCACAGAGTTCTTCCTCGTCTACCACTCATCGTCTGTAGCAGCTTTCGTGTTGCTGTGATGCTGGAAGCTATACCACCTGGGTTTTAAATACCAGCAGGGTATGCCCATGGAGGATAGATTTCAGCTGAGCTTCCAGACTAACCGACTAGAGAGGATCGGCCGACTACTTCTGAATGTTTAGTCACTGAAAACCTTGTGAATAGCACATAACACTGTCAGCACCAGAATACTGAAGACCGAAATATGATGAAAAACACCAGAATACTGTCAGCTAGAGTGCCTGAAGATGAGCCCCTCAGGTTGGAAGGCACTCAAAATATGACTGGAGAAGACCTGCCTCGAAAGTAGAGTTGCCCATGATGATGTGAATGGAGCCAAACTTTCAGTACCTTCATTTGTTGATGGGACATAACTCAAAATAATGGGAAACAGCTGTAAACATCCATTAATAAGCAGAACATGGAATGTATGAAGTATGAATCTAGGAAAATTCAAAGTTATCTAAAACGAAATGGAACACATAAAGATTGACATCATAGGAGTGGTTGTTGTTGTTAAGTGCCGTCGAGTCGATTCTGACTCGACTCATAGCAACCCTGTATAGGGTTTCCAAGGAGCAGCTGGTGAGCTTGAACTGCCAACCTTGCAGTTCAGTGCATTAACTCGCAGCACCACACCAGCACTCCCTAGGAAAAAAGAATCCTAGGCATTAGTGAGCTGAAATGGACTGGTATTGGCCATTTTGAACCTGATAATCACATGGTTTACTACACCAGGAATGACAAATCCAAGAGGAATGGCATCACATTCATCATCGAAAAGAACATTTCAAGATTTATCTGGAAGTATAATGCTATCTGTGATAGGATAATATCCATACACCTACAGTTAATACCAAGCAGCTCTGGAACCGTAGTGGTTACGAATCGGGCTGCAAACCACAAGGTCAGCAGTTCAAAACTACCAGCTGTTCTGTGGGAGAAAGATGAGGCTTTCTGTTTCTATAAAGATTTACAGCCTCAGAAACCCTGTCTGTGCAGGGTTGCTATGAGTTGGAACCAACTCCATGACATATAAAAACAACAGTTAATACCAAAGTCTTGGTGTGGCACTGTGGGCTAATGCATCAGACTGCAAAGTCGTTTGAACGGCAAGGTCGGTGGTTCAAGCTCACTAGCTTCTCCTTCGAAACCCTATCCGGGTCGGAATCAACTCAATGACAGCACTTAACAACAACAACAGTTAATACCATTATTCAAATTTATGCACCAACAACTGAAGCCAGTGACGAAGACATTAAAGAATTCTACCAGCTTTTTCAGTCTGAAATAGATCAAATTTGCAATCAAGATGTGTTGATA